CATATTAATGGCAGATTTATTATATCTTATGACTTACTAATGGTACAATTCTTGACACTGGTGGCTTTGGTACCCACGGTGATGAATTGGTCTGGACATTTCTGACATTTAACTTGTTGTGGGTCCGTTTTGTTTCGGTAGTAGCCACGCAGACAGTCATCACAAACTTTAGTTTCAGGATTATATTCACTTCCCGAAGGACAGTCCTCTATGAAAATACAAATTTACATAGTTTATATTTGTTTAAGTAATTAGCATGATCCTACAGTCATTTAAACTGGTAGCCTAGTTTTTATATCTGACTTACTGATGGTACAGTCATTTAAACTGGTGGCTGAGTTTTATATCTGACTTAAATTACCCATGGTGCAGTCATTCATGCTGGTGTCCGAGTAATTATATCTGACTTACTGACATTAAAGTCGTTTACCCCAGGGGCTTTTTAAGTTATAATATGTATCTGATATCAATGATACTACCATTCATATTAATGGCAGATTTATTATATCTTATGACTTACTAATGGTACAATTCTTGACACTGGTGGCTTTGGTACCCACGGTGATGAATTGGTCTGGACATTTCTGACATTTAACTTGTTGTGGGTCCGTTTTGTTTCGGTAGTAGCCACGCAGACAGTCATCACAAACTTTAGTTTCAGGATTATATTCACTACCCGAGGGACAGTCCTCTATGAAAATACAAATTTACATAGTTTATATTTGTTTAAGTAATTAGCATGATCCTACAGTCATTTAAACTGGTAGCCTAGTTTTTATATCTGACTTACTGATGGTACAGTCATTTAAACTGGTGGCCGAGTTTTTATATCTGACTTAAATTACCCATGGTGCAGTCATTCATGCTGGTGTCTGAGTAATTATATCTGACTTACTGACATTAAAGTCGTTTACCCCAGGGGCTATTTAAGTTATAATATGTATCTGATATCAATGATACTACCATTCATATTAATGGCAGATTTATTATATCTTATGACTTACTAATGGTACAATTCTTGACACTGGTGGCTTTGGTACCCACGGTGATGAATTGGTCTGGACATTTCTGACATTTAACTTGTTGTGGGTCCGTTTTGTTTCGGTAGTAGCCACGCAGACAGTCATCACAAACTTTAGTTTCAGGATTATATTCACTACCCGAAGGACAGTCCTCTATGAAAATACAAATTTACAAAAAACATTGTTTACATGTTATATTGATGATTATATGTGTGTTCAGTATAGGAGTTGGTGGAAAAAGCGTTATATGTGAGGATTGTATTTTGTGATATGAATTCAGAGTTGTGGAAAACTGTCGGTCATGCCGGCAAAACCGACTTAAAATTTGCATTACCGGTAAAAATGCTATCAATGTCGGTCCAAATGACCGGCCCCTTTTTTGGTTAAAGTTTTTTTGTCTTGTGGATTTCCCATCTTAATTATCTTATATGCGATTGCGTAATACCTTTTCTTTAAACGAGATCGAGGCTGTAAATGAAAGCGAAACTAGCATGGTTCTCGTGACCTATTAAATTCACAACTGGGGCCGAGTTAGGTAGAAAACATGTCAAAGAAAATCTTCAGATAAAGACAAGCTAAATATGAAAAATTTCAACAGAAAGAATTCAAGCACAGGTGGAGAAAGCAGTAAATCTAGTACTTCCGACTGTCCCGGATTTTCGTTTTATCTCCAATCGTGTTGATATCTTTATTATCAGATTGTTGATGCAAAGAATTTTTAGACCCATTTTCTATAATATTAATATAATTACAAAATGTATAAGTGTTTTAAAAAATTACGTTGACTGTGCTGAATTAGCATTGTCACCTGCCAAAAAGCAGTGGTATAATTGTATCTAGTATTGTTATAAATGCAAAATTAAAAGAAGAGTACTTGGAAATCGAGACTGAATTTTGTTTTATTAACAACATGATTTATTAAATAGATGTGTCATAATATGAATAAATGTTATGCTTTTTTCCATTTTGCGACTTACTATTTCGGACTGACAGAAATCACTTCGGACCAGCTTAGTTTGTTTTCTTGCCGGTCCGAATGACTGGCTACTAGTATCTTTTTCCACAACTCTGTGAATTATGTTGTAAGAACTGAATATTTATGCTAAAGCTTTCTAGCGGGTAATAAGCATAAATCACCCCTAAAATAAATAATCAGCATAAAATGAAATTATATGATTTAAAATTGCTATAAATTAATAATTTTAAAAAATGCAGATATAAACTAGATGCTGTCATGAGACAGTAATACCCGCACTAAGGTGTTTGCCTCTAAATGCACACTTCTTCATATTGGGCTTTACCAAGGAAAAAGTCAATATAATTCAATAGTTTACATAATACATGTATTCATCAAATTGAGCATAATATGCTCAGGTGACCATGTAGCTGCAGATCTGCAGCATTATGGTTTTATATATTTGTCTTTGACCATAACGTTACAGATCCCCATATGCAAAAAAGGTGCAATTTACGGCGCAATATTTTTTGCGCACTTTTGGGCAGAATTTCTCCACTTTCTAGCATTGGTCAATCAACTACCTTTCACTCCCTAATTTTAGACACATTCTGTAGCCAATAAATATATTTTGTCCACCTCCCAGCCATTTATAGTCATCTCTACAGGCAATAAACTCGCTTGATGTGAATTTTCAGCAATCTAACAAATAATTTTAATCAAGCGAGTTTATCACGTGTAGAGACGACTATAAAAGGATTGGAGATGGATAAAATATACAGATTAGTCAAATAATGTGCCTAGAATTAGGGAGTGAAAGGTAGTAAATTAACCGATGCTGGAAAGTGGAGAATTCTCCCCAGAAGTGCGCAAAAAATATTGCGCCGTAAATTGCACCTTTTTTGCATTACAGGATCTGTAGCTTTATGGTCAAAGACTAATATATAAACCATAACGCTACAGATCTGCAGCTAGTGACCATGTGACCTATGGGCCTCCATCTTATAGGTATTTCATATTCCATTACCCGTCGGAAATTAAACAACAGAATTAAATTAATGATGTAAATTAGGTTTGATAAAGGGGGGGGGGGGTTATAAATTTTTGGCACATAATTGGAACTTTTTAAATCTATTTTCTCATATAGATTAACAACAAATAATATTATTCAAATTAGTGTAAAGTGTTTTTGATGAATTTTTCAAAATGTGCAAAGCTTATTTATATTTGATTAGGCAGAAACTTCTTGAAAGCTGCCATATACACAATCAATTTAGTCAACCCCCACCCCTCTCCCATCAACACACACACACAAACACACCTTATTTGCCTGTTTTTGGAAATAGGCCTAGATGGCAAAGTTAAAATAAAACATCTTTTGTAGATGATAATTTTCAATTTGTTCTTGCACTATACATGTATCTGAACACCTGCATCAAATTGGGCTTGCGTCACATACCCAACTTAAGTACTAGGCCTAGTTTTACCATTGGCATTATCATTTTAGATTTCACTGCACGTGCAGTAGGCTACTGTGCATCATTGCATATATGTCAGTAGGAATTATTTCATTTTGTGTTTTAACTGGATTATATTTCATGAAGATGACAGCGCCTAAATAATGACAATCGGTAAGTACAAGTTTTGGTATAGATTTGGGTAAAATGGACTGAAATGCAAACGGTTAGGTTCAAGTTTAAAGGATCAAAGGTCATCCGATGCTATAATAGACGAATTTCACATTCTGAAGAGTTATCCCCCGTTATCAACGTTACATTAAGTACGCTACAAGATCCAGAATTTTTTTCTGGGAGGGAGGGGGGGGGGGGGTTCCAGACCAGAATTTCCTGAGAAGCAAAAAAAAAAAAAAGAAGAAGTTATGGTTGGGTCTGTTTTCTAGGGTGGAGGGACACTTAGGGCATCCAAAGTCATTTTTATTTCCTCCAGTATATATTATAGTCCTGCAAATTCGGGGGGGGGGGGGGGGGGGTGTTGAGGGGTGTTCCACTTCCCTGTCCCTGTAATGACAAATGATCATGTAACTCCTAAATAGTAGGAAACTTTTTCCATTTGACTATACATAATTTTGTTTCTTGTGTTATTATGTTATGTAAATTTAATGGTATAAAGGTTATGAACCCCTAGAGGTCATCCCCACTCTCCTAATGGGCGGGAAATGTTCACAATATGACTGCATTAAATTAAATAAAAGTGCATCAATGATAAGATAACTTGACATTTTATTCATGAATTTGTGTGAACCTATCTTCCTAGAATTAGGAATGAAAATAATTCAGAGATGGACCACATTAAACTATTTGTATAAACATTTTTTTAAATGTAAAAACAAGTAGTAGTTTGAATACATGAACAAACAGGGGTCTGGGAAGGGGTGAGGGGAAGGATCGAGTTAATATTTCTTTATGTCTTAATGGTTGAAAACTCCTAAAATGAATGTTGACCTCAAATCTAAATTGTCCTCATTATTTTTCAAGTAGTGGTGTCTCCATATGAGTGAAAAATTCCTGAGAGGGATATATAACAACAAACAAAATGACCTAAAAACACAATATTGATTTGCATTAAGAAATATGCAGGGGATTTTTTCCATCATAAATCTTCTTCTCAAGGTCAGCAAGGGCATTATTGTCCCCCATTTTGGGGAAAGGGAGGGGACATTAAATCTCATTTGTCTGTCAGTCTGTCCATCTTATTGACAGCTAGTATGTGCATCTGTCACAATAAATTTAACCTTGGTCATAACTTTTGAATAATAAGAGATAGTGCTTTCATATTTCACATGTACATTACCACAAAACTTTCTAAACATACTATGATTTTTTAACCCAAGTGAGACCTTGACCTTAAAGTTTTACCTACTTTCAAAAAATAACATTTTAAATTGATCATTTTGAAAGAGAAAAGAAAGGGCATTCAAATTATACATGTTTATTAAATGTGAAAAGACTTTTCTAAATATATCATGACTTTTGACTCTGTGACCTCGACCTAGAAGTTTAACCTACTTTTCAAAAATATTATATTGTATATAACTTTTGATTCAAAAGAGATAGGACTTTCATATTTGACATGTACATTACCTGCAACATTTTCAAAATGTTTCAGAGCATGCTATGATTTTTCCCCTTTGACCCAATTTTCAAAAATTGATATATGATAGGGGTGCATATTTGACACACAATCTGCCATAAATTATGGCATCCCATTCACTAAAACGCAGAAAGCAGAGGACCACAATTCTTTGAATTTGCTTGTATAATCTTGATAGATGGAAACATCCTCATATAATGTAGATTCAAGTTTTTTATGCCACACCATGATTAGGAATACATACATAGTTTTTGTCATGTCCATCCTCCACCCTTCCATCTGTCTTTCCATCAGGCTCAAAGAAACTTTCTAGATATTTTTATCAAAGTTCATATGTTAATGCATACTGATGTAAACTATCCAACTGCAGCAATATTTTCTGACCTTGACTTTTCCTTTGATGTTCACTTAACTTTTCTTTAAATTAGTGTTTAGCTTTATTTTAAAGAAACCACTCAAATTGTGTAATGAAACTTCACATGATGATACATACTGATGTAAGCTTTACAATGCTTCGCTCTTTTTTACCTTGACCTTTCCTGTGACTTTGATCTCACTTTTCTAAAATTAATGTATAGATCAGTTTTGAATAAACAATTCAAGATATATTTATCAAACTTCATATGCTGATACAAACTGCTGAGAGCTATTAATACATCAACTTATTTTGACCTTGAATTTTCCTTTGACCTTGACCTCACCTTTTAAAATATGTGTTTATCTAAGTTTTAAATAAACCTTTAATTATAGTTTTATCAAACTTCATATGCTAATAGTAAATTCATACTGATGTAAGCTTTTCAACTGCAACAACATTTTGGCCCCAACCTTTCTTTTGACCTCTCTTGTTTTAGAAAAAGTGTTAAACTCAGTTTCATTAAATCATTCAAGATATTTTTATCAAACATAATATGCTGATATGTATTAGTGAAGCTACTCAACTGCATCAAAAACTTCACCTTGCACATTCCTGTGACCTTGACCTCCATTCTTTTTAATTTTTATTTCGCTTAGTTTTAAAGAAATGATTTAAGACATTTTTAAAACATCATTTTTCGACCCCCATTAGTCCCCTCGGGGCAAAATC